CTCAGCCCTCACCTGACACTGTCCTCAGACCCACACTGAGCCCTGTCCCCTCGCCAGGCAGGCCCCCATCTCTTCTGTGTCTAGCCACATGTTCTTCCCTACTATAAGTTCTGACCCAACCCCACTGCCTCTGAGAAGCCTTCTAGAACCCTCCTTTCCCACCAGCCACATTCTCCAGCCCTTCCCCTGGACCCCACAGCACTGAGTACCCACTTCCAGGGCAGCCCTGCTTCCTACACTGCAGAGGAATGACTTCTCTCCCCCAGAGCGTGACACAGCAGAGGGCCTGGCACATAGTAGGTGTTCAGTAAATGTTTGGAAAGCAACAGGCAAGTCTGTTCACAGCTTGCCTGGAACAGACTTCAGGGACCGGAAGCCCCCAGCTGCCACATGCTGCCATCTCAGCGGCTCCAGGACTCCACTCCTCCGGACCCCTGACAGATCGCTGCTTCTGCACAGTGATGCCTCGGCCAGGCTGAGCGAAACCACCATGTGTTCTAGCCACTTCTTTCTCCTGATGCAGATTCCCTAGGAAGTTGCGCAGTTGTATTCCTTGAGACCTCTGATTCCTCCTTTCTAGATAATCAACTTCCAAAAGTGTCTGGCTCCTGCTGTTTCACTCCATGTTTGTGGAAGGAGATGCGAGGAGGCAGGCGCAAGCCTGAGGTTCCTGCCACCTTCCTTTGACCAGGATGGTCTTAGGCCACAGCACAGCAAAGGCAGCTGGCCTGGGGTTGGACTAACTTTCTGGGGGCTAATAAGCCGTTGGTCTGGGAGACAGTGGGAACCAGCTGGGAAGGTGGGGAACTTGCAAACTATAATGCTCTCAGACCACTTTCTCCCCTGAATCTGTAAGAGCGAACTGTAGAGGCCAAGCTCCACCTAGCCTCTCCCCAAATCCATCTCGGCCCAGGTCCCAGAGCCAATACCAAGGCCCTGTAAGTCAGTCCTCCTGGCTGAAGGCACAAAGAGGTCCACTTTGGTGCCAGGGAAAGATGCTCCCAGGGGCTGCTGGCCCAGAGTTTCAGGGAAATCCAGATTGACAATGAGCCTCATACACCAAAACAATTGGATAGATTCCCTGTCAGCACAAAGGGCTTGTGAGCCATATGTTCTGGGCACAGAGGTTGCTGCAAAGCATTGTTCCTCAGAATTCCCCTAGAAACACATACAGAGTAAGAGAAGTTTAGAGAAGTCCTTTCCAAGCAAGTGGGAGCCATCTGACGGGAGAGGTCCCAAGGCCCAGCTGGTGGGTATGGGTGTTAGTCCAGGAGCTGAGAGTGAGGGGCTGTTTCCTGATGACAGAAAAACATCTGCTGATCCTAGATTGCCCAGAGCGGGGTGCAGGTGAGGGTTTCCCCATGGTCACTGGTCTGGTCTGCCCTCCTTGAGAGCATTGCCCTGTTTTGCAATCTCCCTCAAACCTCCCTGCCTCCAGGACGTTCAAATCCTCCCAGATCTGTAAAATGGAGATAATGACAGCACCTACATCAAAAGATTCTGATGAAGATTAGTGGAAAACATTACCTGTAAACACTGATCTCAGACAACTTTCTCCCTTGAATCTGCAAGAGAAAACTACGGAGGCCAAGCTCCACCCAGCCTCTCCCCAGGTCCGGCCTAGCTCAGGTCCCAGAGCCAATCCCAGGGCCCTCCATGTGAGTCCATATCCTGGTATCTAGTATTTCCTCCATACTCACCAGATGTTAGGACACTGTCATTACTGGCAGCCCCACGGGATGTACTGGGAGCCAATGAGAGACTCACACCCAGGGACTGGCATGCAGAACTGTCTCTCACTGACCCTGCCTCAGCCTGAGTCAGCTCCTGTGTATGAGGCTGGCTGGGAAGAGAGCAGGGCAAGCTCTGGGTAGTGGCAGAGGTGTCAGATGTCATAACCTCCCACAGCCAGGCTGCCCCAAGCAGAGTTTGATCTAAGACCAAAGCAAGTGCTCCGAGGGGACCCCTCTGAATGCCATGATCCCTTCCTCTAACAAGGCTTCCTGGCTCAGAACCAGTCAGCACTGCCACCTTCTGCCAGTACCCCAAATACGTCTCATCCCATGACCTGGGAGCTCCATAGAAAGGAATGAAGACGGGTTTTTGCGATTTCATGGAGAGATCAAGTTCGTCCCTCTGAGAACAAAATGCCCCAGCCCTTGAATAAAGCTGTAGATTGAACTGTTTGGAGAATTAGGGAAAGATATAAGACAACTGAAACTTAGATACTCATTAATAGAAACACTCAGTTTTCTGTAGAGTTTATCCAAGTGTCTAAGATCATTTTTCCTTAAGGGATGGTTTGAAGACAGCTCCTATCAGTCACCTGGGCATCAATGATTAAAAGTGCCAAAACCCAGGTCCTGCCTGGCCCTGCTGAAATTGATCTCTGAAGAGGTGATGCTGGAATCTGCATTTTAAACAACCTTCCTTGGTGACTCTTGAGAATAGTAATTTAAGAGCCAATGGCTCCCTTTCAGACACGTGAGACCCTAAATATATGGTGTTCCCAGTCCAGAGGATAGGAGCTGACCCAAGGGATTCCTGGCACCTGATAAAATGTCCTCATTAAACTCAGGCAAGTTAGTTTAACCTGCATCTAGGTTAAATTCTAACAATGCACAGTCTTTGGTTCCTCCAAGGGTCACATCACAGCCATGGGAAGGCCTCATCTGCCTGTACCCAGGCAAGTAAAAGGCTGACAACCAGGACCTGAACCTGGCCCCACTCTTTCCATATTTTCTTCGAAAGAAAGGCACCATGAAAAGTAAGATGAATTTCACAAACACGAATAGAGAGTTTTATTGCTCATGGGAACAGAAGGCTGAGCTGAGTCCTAGAAATGTATACAGTTGGTCTGAGATGACTCCAATCCATTTCCCCTCCTGCCCAATCCCAGTTTCTAAGTAAAAACAGGCAGTCGATTGGAGAGCCATCTTTGAGAGGAGAGCTGACCACGAGACAAACCCTAAAAACCACAGCACCAATGCAAACGGACTTTCCTTTGGAGGTCCCATGGCTGTCAAATCCCCTCCCTCAGAAAGGTGCCATAGAAAAAGCTGGAATAGTTGCAGGGTGACTTAAAAAGGCAAATTCTGATTGTATAGGACTAGGAACTCAGCCCTATATGTGGATTTAGGAATTTGAAAGCCTCTCTTTTATGGGCTTTATTTTCAAGCTTCTTGAAAGGTTTTCACCCAGTCCAACTGTTCAGAATTTGGGCCTTAAATGTCAAGTCTCACCCTGGAGTGAAGCCAAGCAAGTAGATTTAGTTTGATTCAGATGCTGAAACTCTTGGTGTTTCTATGTATCTCAGGTGTTTGATATCTCGGAAAACAATGTTACCTTTGATAAATTAAATTAACAAAATGAGGTAGTTAATTCAATTGGGAGTAAGAAAGCCGGGGGCAAATTTGATAGACTGGATAGTGATGAAAACAAACATTTCTCTAACGGTAATTACAGCAGAGTTGGCTAACGCTGGCTGCCAATACAGTAATTTTCTTATCACTTTCCCTTGGTATTTAATTCCTGTGTCCAAATAATAATGAAAATGCCCAATCAACGGACTTATCTGGAGTTTTTGTCTACGTGATGCCAGTACATTTAATTGGTTTTAGAAGTATAGTGAAAATTATCAAAAGCATCTTTTCCAGATATGTGGTGTTGTGGGTGACAGATTTTGCTTCTTGGCTAAAGAAGAGGTAAAAGAGGCCAGGTGCAGTGGCTCATGCCTGGAATCCCAGCACTTTGGGAGGCCAAGGAGGGTGGATCACGAGGTCAGGAGTTCGAGACCAGCCTGGCCAATATCTCTACTAAAAATACAAAAATTAGACGGGCATGGTGGTGCGCGCCTGTAGTCCCAGCTACTTGGGAGGCTGAGGCAGGAGAATCTCTTGAACCCAGGAAGTGGAGGTTGCAATGAGCCGAGATGGCACCACTGCACTCCAGCCTGGGTGACAGAGTGAGACTCTGTCTCAAAAAGTTAAAAGAAGAAGAAGAAGAGGTAAAAGAGATCTAGTTGCTACTGGGAGTACAACATGTGCCTTTACAGCACAGAGAAAGCAAACAGAGGATGTGCCACAGTTATTCTCCCAAAGTGATATTGATGCACATGTATTTTGCTGTCGGCTGACCTCAGGCACTGGGCCACTACTCCTCTTTTGCCCAGCTTTGAAAGCCTTTGTGTGAGAAGTGAGCTACTGTCCTCCGATTCAGCTAAGCATCCTGTCTTGGCTTCTGCTGGTTTCCATCCCAGTGGTACTTCTGGGGTTGGGGCGATGGAAGGTGCAGGAAGCAAATGTCTATTGCTATTGGAACATGAGTGGCCAAAGGAACTCTGAACCAGAGCAATTTTGTTTCAGTGATACACAGAGTCATGTCTAGCAGCGAAGTGATAGTAGATGTTTCACAAGCAGCTCTCTGTGGGGCAGATGGCATGATTTACAGCATTTGCTAATTTTCATGGTGTAAACACTCCCACCGTGGCTGATTTTCAGCTGCAACATGGCACCCCAGATCAGAAAGCTGGGAAGGGTCGTGCCCCACTGGCTTCCCCAAGCAGGTATGAGCACATCTCTGACAGCAACAAGATGCCAAAGCATCCTTGAAAACTACACCTGTCTCCATTCTAGTCTCTTTGAAACTTTGAAACTAGACAAGACTAAGCCAGGTGAATTGCTTTCTAACGGAGGCACTAAGGGTTAATAAGACATCTTTTCAAATAAACACGCACACACTTCTCTTTAAAAATTGGGGCTGCCTAGAAGAAAAAACAATAGACCCTTTTAACTTCCTTCCTGTTGGACCACACCCTTCCCTCTATACCTACAGAGTTAGGATGTAAAGAGCTGGAAGGAGAGAAGGAGCCGTCTGATTCCATTGCTTTCCATGCTTCCCACCCTGGAGGAATCACTTAAGAATCGAGTATTGAAAGGTAACTGCTCTGAGTATTCGCAAGTCAATTTGAAGTGGTAGACAAAGAAGAGAGGGCCAGAAAGCAGGGGCTGCTCTCCTTGGTTTTTATTAAATCAAGTCAGGGCTGCTAACAGATTGGCATGTGTATTACAGGTGCAGTACTCTATAAAAATTTCATTGTCTCATCATTAGCACAGGGCACTTTCTTGAACAGCCTCTACTTTCTGTTAATAGGCTTACAGAAACTAGGGAGATGGAGGCGCCAGGACAATGGAACCCAGTGACTTAAAATCAAGGCAAAAATCCCTGCTCAGGCCAGCTCTTGCTCATCCATCTCCCAGGACATGCCAGACAAGATGCATAAGACAAGGTGAAACACTTCATGAAAAATCAGGTCACAAACAGGGGAAGCGGGGACCAACTAGCCACCTTCCTCCTGCCTTTACTGAGCTCCAACAATGAGGACTTGTAAATCAGAAGGGGACCTCCCAGTCAAACTTGAAAGAACCTAATACGTGTAGGACCAGCCTATTTAAACCATTTTCATGCTAGGATTGTCTGCACACATAAACATTCGCTTTTAGGGGGAAGGAGAGGACAAAGTTGAATCCAATTGACCATTTCTAAGACAACTGGCCAGCAGCAACTGGGCAGCCACTAGTTGTGAAACATTTTCCCTCAGGCACAGAGCCCAAGAGTCCCAGCTGGGCACAATGTCGTTAGTACCAGCTGAATAATATTTGGATTGAAGCAGTCACCACTACCCTGTGGAGAAGAGGTGCCATGTTAGATCTGGGCCAAATGACCACTGCCAGCCTCCCTTTGGCATGGCTGAAATGTCCCCTGGAGACTGTCACTTTTCTTCAGCATGGAGCAGCATCCAGTGGTCAGCAGGCAGGTGGACACCATGCTTCCCACCTGCCACCAGCTCTTTGCATCCTTGACAGTGACAGAACTGAGTGTCATCCCCCAGGGAGCCTCAGGTGAGTCCAGGAGCTTCTTAGAAAGGCTAGCACATGGCCCATAGTCATCCTTTGGTGACAAATAGGGACTGTCCAATGTCTGCCCTTGAGGAACCAGGAAGCAGGCTCTGGAGCCCCTACAAGCCAGGGAACCAGGATCACTGGGTACGCCAGGGGCTGGCAGCTGGTGGTGTTCACCCAGGGGCCCCCACGCCCTCCCTCCCTTCTTCTCACCGCTGCCTCATTCTAAACTCTTCAGCAGGAGCGTGGTCCTTCACTCAGACACCGGCAGAATGTTCTGGCTGTGAGAGTCGCCGGTGAGGCCGGAGGAATGGATGGAGCGTCGGTGCAGGAGCCTGTTCAGAATCTCCTTGCAGCTTTTGCGGTATTGGTGTCGCAGTAAGGAGTACACAAAGGGGTCGGACGCGGCCTTGCTGTAGGCCAAGCACTTGGACAGCACCCCCCAGTGGGAGCCGATGGGCACCGTGGAGAAGAGCTCCACCAGCCTGCGGAGAAACAGGGAAGCCGTTACTGAGGACACAGTGAGGCACGGCCTGGGATGGCCATGGACCAGGGCTCCAGTCTGTGCCCCTGTGGACCATCGTTTCCCAGCCCAACCCTCAGTTCATCTGAGACTGGCCTCTTTTTTTTTTTTTTTTGAGACAGAGTCTCACTCCGTCACCAGGCGCCAGGCTGGAGTGCAGTGGCACGACCTCGGCTCACTGCAACCTCCGCCTCCTGGGTTCAAGCAATTCTCCTGCCTCAGCCTCCCAAGTAGCTGGGACTACAGGCGTGCACCACCACGCCCAGCTAATTTTTTTTGTATTTTTACTAGAGATGGGGTTTCACCATGTTGACCGGGATGGTCTCGATCTCTTGACCTCGTGATCCGCCCACCTCGGCCTCCCAAAGTGCTGGGATTACAGGAGACTGGCTTCTTAAATAACAATAATAGCAGTTCACACCAATAACGATGATGGCAGTGAACACTTATCAGGCTGTATTTTATTCTACACACTGTGCTAAGCACTTTCCATATGTGATTTTGCTGAGACCTGGGAGATACAGCCAACTGTGTTTTACATGCAAGGAAGCAGATGTCCCAGGAGGTTAAATACTTTGCCCAAGGTCACATGGCCAGTAACTACAAAGGCAGGATTTGAACCCAGGTCTATCTGACTCTGAAATCCAAGCCGCACTGAGAACCCAGCTAATAGCTGGCTGTCCTGGCTTTGGTGCCAACTCTGCTACTGACTTGTCATGTGGCCCTGGGCACCTCTGTTCATTCCTTTGACCTGTATGTCTTATGTGAAAAACAAAAAGATGGGACAATATCATCTCAATGCTCTTTTAACTAGAAGGGTCTGATCCCACTGTCTGCTTCCAGTCCTGGCTCTGCGTTCCTCAGGATGTTGCATGGGAGGAAGAGCTGAGAACAATTTTGAAAACGTTTTGCAAAGCTCAAAGTATGTTGTGAACAGGAAAGAATGCTAGCAAGGAAGTCCTCTTCCCTGGGTTGGGATCCTGGTGGTCTTTGACAATGGCCGTGATCAGGGGATCCTAGATGGACCCTCATTCTTTGGGGGAGGGGCAAGGGAAGACCCAGCCTGCGTATCTTAGAGTCTGCTTGGTGCCATCAGACAGCTCCATTCCGTGGTGCTAACACCATGTTGTGAGGTCAGGGAAAGCCTTCTTTCTACCTGACCACCCAAGAGAATTCTACCCTCCACCCAAATCAAGCCATTTATTCTCTCAAGTGTGTCCAGCACCCTTGGCCACATTTGGACATCACCCAGCATTAACATGAAATAGAAAAGACCCACAGAGCTGGGAGAGAGTCTAGAGATCATATATACTGCCCTCTCTTCCACTCTTTATCATATGAAAAAATTGAGGCCCAGAGAGGGAAAGGGGTTCAGACATTACACAGCAAGTCAGTGGCCACGGAAGGTGCAGCACCTGCATCCGCCTCTGACTGGAGGTCTAGAACCTGATTCTACCTGGAGCCCCTGCAGATAGAAGGCAGTGGTGGCTCTCAGCTTGGGGGTCTGCCCAGGTGAGGACCCAGGTACAGAAAGAACTGAGCTTGAGCCGGAACTCAGTGCTGCTATCTTTAGATGGTTATTCTTAAGCCTTCTTTGGGCTGTAGAGCTGGCGAAGAGGAGGAGGAGGAAGCTGGTGGGCTGCGATCCGCCACTGAAATGCCTCTTTCTGGAGCAGACCCTTAAGGAGTCCACTCTGAGGCCCCTCTAGTTGGCATCCCATCTTCCTCACCACTGTCTACCTTTGCCCTCTGACCCTGTGGGGGACTGTGGCTACGTTTCCTCTCATATCCTTGAGAGCCTGAATGGGGAAATGGAGCTGTGAACATTTAGAAAATCTGTACTTTTAAGAAATCTATTTTGAGAAGTGATGAATTCAAAGGGAGAAAAAAAAACCTGAATTTAGAATTCACACCTAATAATAATAATGAAACAGCTGAATGCCAACACATTGTTGCTATGCAATGCCAAATTGCTTTTCCAAAATGTCTATAGTTTTTCATACATTGCTAAATTCAGGCTTAGCATTTTAGCTCTCCCAAAAGGATTTATGAAAAGAACCAGATATCATCAAACCATCCAGCACAATCGAAATTGTTATTTGCAGCTTCTGTAGATTTCACAGAATAAAATTATTCACAACAATCTAAAATTTCACCATTTAGAGAATTAAGAGGTTAAAATCTATTGCATTTGCTTCTCAGAGATTTCACGGCAAGTTTGAGCTCCCCACCTGGCACAGACATCATGATTCCCAGTTGAGTGTCTCCTTTGGGCTAAGCACTTGTGTGTACAATCTCTAACTGTACAGTTATCCAGCAGCATGAGAATCACTATTCCCATTTTACAGGTGAGGAAATTGAGGCTCAGAGAGGTAAGCAGCAAGTTAGGGTCTCCTGCCTGGGAAGACCAGCTCTATCTAACTGCAGTCCAAGTCCTGGCTAGTGGCCACACCAAGATGTGAATCTCAGCACTGCAGACATGACAAAGGAAGCTCTGGGGTCCCTTCCAGCTCCAAGAACCCCTTTTCCATGAGGTCACTGTAAGCTGCCTGGAACTTTTGTCACTTGCCCCTCCTCACAGTGCACAATGACAATTTTTGTGTTGAAAAGCTAATGTCTGGCCTTTGTCAGGACCTCCAAGAAAAGAGGCGCTTTGGAGGAATACAGGCCTGGACACTGCTGCCACGTGGTCACTGGCATGGGGTAGCTGGGATGCCCCCTCCAGGCTTGGCTGCGGCTGGCTGGGCCGCTGTCCAGTGGCCCTGTGCAGGTGGCTCCCTGTGCCTGCGGTGGCTGGCTGCTGGCTATGCTCCACACTAGCTCCAACAACTCCCAGCTCCTTTTGTTGATGAGAAGAGCCAAGGGTTTCCGTATTGCCACAACAACTTCTTTGTAATTCCAGATCTGGGCAGGCATCTGGATAAGCACCAGATCCCTTCCAGGTGACCTTTTAGAGAGGGACAATTCAGCCCATGTTTTCCTACCAGATCTAGCTCTGCTCACTCCTTCCTGATGACCTTCCCTCCAGGAAAGAGGCGTTAGAATTTTGACCAGTCCCATGTCACTAGTGGGCAGGGTCACAGTGTGTAAGGGGAGCCTCTCCTCCTCCATGTGGTCAGTTTATTATGCCTTTTCCCCTCCCTCCCCTCGGCAGTCAGAGTTAGTGGATGGTCTCAGGACAGGACGTTGGAGGGAGGCAGCTCACAGAGCAAAAGCCTCTAGTGTAAGGCCCTGTCTCCTGCTTAGTTCTGGCCAAGCGCCCTGTAGTGATGGTTGTAGGGCTCAGGTGTTGACAGAGCAGGGTTTGGCTTCCTTTTGTCATTGCCCCTGTTATGGGTTGAATTGCGTCTCCCCCCAAAATGCATGTGTTGAAGTCCTAACCCCTAGTGTCAGAATGTGATCTTATTTAGAAATAAGATTGTTTCCTGTACAAATCAGGTTCTAATGGAATAGGGCGGGCCCCCTAATTCAGTACTGTTGGTGTTCTCAAAAAGGCAGAAACTTGGACAGAGAAGCACACAGGGTGAGTGCTGTGTGAACAAGAAGGCAGAGATCAGGGTGAGACACCTGCAAACCAAGAAACCCAAGGAACCCAGCAAACCACCAAGAGCTTGGGGAATGCATGGAGTGAGTTCTTCGCAGCCCTTGGAAGGAACCAAGACCTTGATCTTGGACTTCTGGCTTCGGAAACTGTGGGCGGTCTTTCTGTGTTAGAGTCACTCGGTTTGTGGTACTCTGTTACGGCAGCCCTAGCAAACCAAGACTCCCCCTGAAGAACTGCATGGGGAGCAGAGGTGGCTGTGTGATTGTGTTGTTGTTCTGGGGACCCCTGGCCATAACAGCATCAACCAGCCCACCACACTCCTAGAGCCCGTGAACCCTGGAAATATGACAAAGATGAGCAGCCCTGGGAGCAGGGTGCCGCCCCTCGCCACCCTCTGGAAAGCAGGGCCTGTCCCCACAAACATCGCTCCCTGCCACCTGTGCCAACCTTCCACTGAGCACAAGATGACTTTCCATGTGCTCTCTGGGGTACGAGCCAGAAAAACGTCTGTCTGCCAATAGCCCCCTTTAGGGGGAAATGTTCCTGCTTCTGTGCTCAAAAGGCACACGTGCCTGCCCTGACACAGCTCCCCCAGGAAAATCCCCTGGGGTGAGATCCATACCCTCAGTCATCAGATCAGGTGGGGGGAGGGGACAGAACTAGGGAGGGGGCCCAGACCCCCTTTTCCAAGCATTTCAGAAAATTCTGATGCAGGAGTCCAGCCCCTATGGGAGCCTGGGGTGTGTGGGTTTGGGGAGGATAGAAAGTGCTGCAGGGTGCACAGCCTGTTGATGAAAAGGAAGCAGAACACAGAGATGTGAATTCTTCTGACTTAGGGTGAGACACAGAGCAGATACCCACAGATCTTGCCAGACCTCCAGACCCTGTGTGCCTGCAGCCCTATGTTCCGATAGCTGTCCAGGGAACTCTTCCATGGAGCCATGGCTCCTCTCTCAGTAACAAGCCCCTCTGACGTGGGTCACTGGAACATCTGAACTGGCTGCCACAGTCCAGGGCTGATGGAGATAAGAAGCTGCCCACCCTTGCCCTTCTCACCCATGGGGACTTCATACTTCCACCCAGCAGCCTGGGAAGTCCTGGTCCCGGGAGGGAGAAGGGAAGCATGTCTGCCAGGACTCCAAGGCATTCTCTGAGCCTCTGGAGAAACCAGCGTCCTGACCTTGCTCCACAATGGGAATCCCAAAAGGAAGCAAGTTCCGAGGTGAGAACGGTACAGGTAACCCCTGTGGCTCCTGACCCCAGCACCTCTTGTGGACCGCCAGGGGCTCTGTGTCACCTTAACTGCTTCACAGATATCATCTCAGGACCCCAATATCACTCTTCCTGTGGTACAGAAGATGGAACCAAGGCAGAGAAGTGTCAAAGTGACACAGCCTGAACATGCAGGAACCAGGATT